TTTTTTTTTTTTTTTTTTGGTACTGGTGTTGAACTCTAGGCCTTGAGCTTATGAAGTAAGCACAACACTACTGAGTTAAATCCCCGGACTCTCTGTTTTTAATTTTTGAGGAATTTTTATACTGTTTTCTGTAATTTTATGATCTTTCATTCTCAAAAACAATGTATAAGAGTTTAAATTTCCCCATATTCTTTCCAATACCTTTGTTTTTACTAATAGCTACCCTAAAAGTTGTGAGGTGATATTCCTTGCAGTTTTTAATTACATTTCCCATGACTAATGATAATGAACATTTTTGTATGGAGGTCATTTTATGTATTGTTTTGACAAAAATCTTTTCAAGTTTTTGCTCATGTTTAAAACAGGTTATTTTTGCTAGTAATTGCTTATCAGATATGCGATTTTAGATATTTTCTCCCTTCCCACAGGTTATCTTTTCAGCATTGTTTCCTTTGCTGTATACAGGCTTTTTAGTTTGAAGTGGTCCTACTTTCATATTTTTACTGTTGTTACCTATAGTATCAGTGTCACAGCCAAAAATCATTGGCCAGACTAATGTCAAGAAACTTTCTCTATTTTTTCTAGAAGTTCTAGGCTTGTTTTTTCTGTTTCTGTAGACAATGTTAGCTATCGACTGTAGGTTTGTCCCCCTTTTCGGAAATTCATAGGATGGAATGATAACCCTCAGTGGGGTGGGGCTTTTGGAAGATAATTAGGTCTACATGAGATGATGAAGGTGGACAATGCTTCATATAAGAGGAGAAAGTTGCATTTCTAAATGTAGTCTATAGTTGTACAGGACTAGATCTCACTCTTGCACCACAGACATAATGAGAAGAAGGCTTTATGTAGAGACTCCTCAGCAGACATGAAGTGTATATTTTCTTTGATCATAACATTCCAGGCTGTGGATCTTACGTGAGTAAATGTTTGCTATGTACACCACCTAGCCTTTGGTGTTCTCTTATTGTAGCCTAATTGCCTAAGGCAGTACCATTGGAACTTTAATGAAGACAGTGTTGAATCTGTAGATTGTTTGTGGGGTGTGGTCTTTTTACATCGTCTTCCAATTCATGACAGTGGAATGTCTTTCCATTCATTTCTGTCTTCTTTAAATTTAATTTAGTAGTTTTCAGTTCATACACTTTTATTTCCATGACTACTTAAGACGTTTATTTTCATTTTTATTTATTTATTTCTGTGTTACTTTTTTAATGAGAAGGACGTGTGAATGCTGAGAGTGCTCTGTAGAACTTCTGTCTTCCAAAAATGTGCATTTAATGTACCAGTGCCATCAAATGCACAGTTATCATCCTTGGGGATTAGACATAATGGAGCTGAGAGAGGCTCAGGTATAGAAGAGGTTTCTCTGGGATTAACTTGGGGCGGTGGTATTTATGCTGTGGACATGGTTTATGACTTGAAGGCAATGTGGCTGTAATAGACGAGTCAGGACACTGCAAATACTCTGTGCATCTGCAAAGGCATAGAGGATCATTTACTTATAAGAAAATCAGGAAGACAGCCACAAGGAAAACCAGAAAGCTAAAAAGTTTAAGCAAAATTTCAAAGCGAGATGGGGATTCTTGTACAGTTCGGGTTTTGGTGGCCTTGAATGTGCGGTCCCACTGTGTCATGATGGCCTCTCTGGCTCCTTTCCATTTTCCTGTGCCAACCAAGCGAAACTGGTATGGTGTGCATGGGCCAAAGAAGATGGTCAAAGCCAGACGTGGGTCCGTCCACAGCATAGAGAACAGATTTGGTTTTGCATTGATGGCGGTCAGGAGTTCATCTACGTATGGGATATAATCGAACTCTAAAGGCTTGGAGAATTCTATGCCATACCTTTATAAAAAGATGGGTGGGGCACAAAAAGATAAAATTATAATAATCCTAGAACAAATAAAGATAATCTGTGAACCTTTGTCCATAGTAAATAAATGCTGCTGCAGAATTTGAAATGGATCCTGTCTTCTCCCCTCTATGTCCATAGTATATATTTTTTTTTGAGACAGGGTCTCACTAGTAGTGGAGAATGACCTGGAACTCACTATGTAGCCCAGGTGGGTCTCAAACTCACAGCAGTCCTCCTGCCTCAGCCTCCCAAGTGCTGGGGTTAAAGGCTCATGCTACCACATCCGGCTTTATTTTCATAACAATCTAATGATAACTATATCCTAACTATGGTCTCACAGTGTTATTTAAAACTCAGTCATTACTGCACTTGTATAATATGGAGAGTCACAGAATTCCTGAGAGTAGAATTCTTGATGAACCTATATTCAGGCCTTGGAATCATTCACTGACTGATGTGATAAGCAGCTTTAGTTATCTATTATACCAGCCTTCTATAACAGAGATCAAACTGTGGCATAGGTTGAGAAGAGACCTGTAAAATGCTTCCATTGTCGTGGAATTAAGCAGTTTGACAAGGATAGATCAATGCTTGAAGTTTGGGGATATACTATATGAGTGAAAGAAGCGATGGCATTTTTCTTGTACATAGTGATTTAAAAACTTTCTTCTATCACAGAACCCTATTACTGTTCAAGTAACAGTTTAGGTCAGAGCCCAGACAAACAGTAAAACAGATAAAATCTGGGATAGTTGAGTTGATTGGTGAATCATTTCCCCTCCCTTGCCTTTGACCCTTGAGTCATAGCCACAGAAGAGAGCACAAGGAGAAACCTTCCTGTGGATAAGAGACCAACACATTTCTTTTGCACAAAGCCATGCTCTGGGCTTGGAGGGCCACGATAGAGTCTCTGTCTCTGCACTCAACTCTTCTGTGGTAACACAAAAGTAGCCATTGATGAAACATGAAGGGTGAGTGTGCATGCATTGTAACAAAATTTTATGGCCACCGCAGTTTGAATTTCCTATAATATTCCCGTGTTGCAAAATCTTTTTCCCCACAACTATATGGAAGTGAAAAGCAAACCCAGGTGAGGGTGAGTGGATTTGGCCCACAAACCACGGTAGGCGACACCTGCTGTGGAGCAGCAGCCTGCATGACCACCATGGAACTGACACAGACCTGCTGAATGAACGAATGAGCAGACACTTGTGGTACGCAGAAGTGTTGGCTGGTAATTATGGACAGAGTACGGAATAATGAACCTGGTAGAGCAGGGTTAGTTATACTTGGTCTGGATTCTCAACTCTGTGTGATGGCTGATAACCATCATCTGAAATAACAATTCTAGGCTATTGAAACTTCTCAAGTCCCCCTTTCTTCCTCTTTCCTGTGAACGCTGTCCTGCTTCTAAGTCTCTGTGGCTTCTTCCCTTTTCTATGGTGTAACTCTCATGTGTCTGCTATTGTAGGAGTCAAAAAGGCTCCCCAAGGAATTCACTCACCCACTGTGCTTATTTGTTTTCCTTTCATTGACTTCTTCTATCATGACACTTGTTGGTGGTAACTTACTAACACCTATAAAATAAGCAAGCAGAAAATGTGAATTAACTTTAGGTCTACGTGTTTGTTTGTGGATAAAATGTTTTACTTTTGCTCATTTTTTATTTCTGTACTCTGAGTGAACTGCTGGCATGCTCCTGGCATTAATGTTATGAACTGAAGGGATAAATGTCTGATCATGTCACTAATTTACTTGATATGACATAATCACACAACTGATTTGTCTCAATTTTGTCACTGAGATGACTGAATGTTTAAATTTTAGATGAACCATTTGAGTCAATCAAAATATCACATATAGCTTATAATTTTCAAAGCCTGATTTATCATTCTTCTGGTGATAGTACAATTAATTTTGACCAAATAATTCTAATTCAGTGAATTCAGAGAACAATAGTGTGGATCATCTTTTTAAAGACTTTCATTTTAAATAAGAGCTGAATAATAGTCTTGAAATTTCCAGTATCTGAAGTCACATGGCAAACCAAAACATATACCCTGCTGTTTCTCATCTATTTACCTTTCAGGACTTGAACAACCCATCGAGCTTGTATTTCTCCTGTGCACAGTAGGGAGCCCAAGGGTTTGATGAGGCCTATAACAGCCATTGTTGGTTTTTTCAGATGTGTGGGAAAGATATACTTGTACAATGATGCCTGGCCATCTTCAACTTTTACCACCGAGTCATCCAGGAAGGGGAAATGAAAGGTGTATCCAGTGGCAAAAACAATGATATCAATGGGTTCTTCTTTTGGGGTGTTGTTAAATATGACAGAATTTTCCTTCACTTCCTTTATGCTTGGCTTGATCAGTACTTTTCCAGTGATGATACGGCCTGGGAGCTCATCATTTATCACAGGCTCTCTTGGATGAATCCTAACAAAGTAAGGACAGGAAAGAGATCTAGTGGTGAGTAATATAGCCAGCACCCCCATTTTCTTCTCCTTCCTCTCTCCATTTTGAAGCTCACCCCTTGGCTAGATAAAGAGTTGCCTGTTTGGAGAGATGTAACATCTGGAGGATGGACTCATAATGTCCAAAGATTATAAAATATGTGTACCATTTACTAGAGTTTGGTAGTGGAAGAACTTGCCCGACTTCTGCTTGTTTTGCTGATGTTTAGCTATGGTTGTTGTTCTAGAGATGGCTCGAGGTTGAAGGGCTAGAAGGAAAAGCAGTGACTTCCACATCTAATGAGCGCTGTCAGATGCCCTATCCTGTCCTTCTTCCTCCAAAAAGCACATTATTTAACAGATATATGTATGTGTTAAAAAGAAATAAGCACAGGTTTATCTTTTTCTGGCTGTGTAATGGAATCATAAGACTAGCACTGGGTGAGTTGGTTTTCATAAGCTGAGGCATATTTAGCTGATGCAGAATATCCAGAAGAGACAGTGTGTACAACATAAACAGAACTGGTGTGAGAAGTAGTAGTACGAGTTGGTTTTTTTTGTTTCAGTTGTGTATTTCAACTTAACAGAGCTTTAGCAAGTCATATGGTCTATGTGGGCTTTCTTGTATTCTTCTACAAAATAGGGATACTCACAACTTGCCATCTTTAGGCCATTGGGTGGAAGCAAAGCACGTATGGTGTTTATGATAGGCTATATGTAGGAACTTTGGAAATGGTAAAGGATTAACTAAATCAGAAAGAGAGAAGGGTGATAGTTCTTTAGTCCTGTGAGTCACCATTGAGGCTTGATAGAATTTATGGTAAAAAGAACTATGGTGGAAAGTGTCAAAGCTCCCGAGAAGACTGGCGGTGGGAGAGGAGATAAGAAATAAGGAAAAAAAAAAAAAAACGATCACAATAAAAAGAGGGACGTGTCAAGGAGAAGGCAGAAGTGACTAAGGGGAGAGTGTGTGCCATTGCTGATGGTGTGGGACCACTCATCCATGTGGGGTCTGGAGTGAATTTTTTTTTTTTCGGAATGAAATTTTGAGGGACCACAGACAGGATCTCTCATTGCTGTAGTTTTTCCTGCTCATTGGTTTTCACTATAGAGACTTAGAGAATAAAAAGTAATACATTTGGTTCTTGATAATAGGGTAAGTCACAGTTTATAACTAAAGGGAAAGACTAAACTTAAGATCATCTTGACCAGGGCAAGAAGTCACTGTCATTAGAAAGATAAAAGGACAACTGTTGGATGCAATTTTTCTAGGACAATGAAACAAGTGTGTTGCTTTTGTTAACAAGATCATAGGCAAATCATTTACTTTTTTTGCTGCAACTCATCAAGTTCACAGAGCTTTCTCACTGCTACATGAGCTCAGGAACGTGACTAAATTTGGCTAGATCTCAGTTATCCCATAAGGAAAGGGGAATTGTACCTAATAATACTTACCCTAAAGAGTTAAATATGTAATTTCATTGCTGAAGCACTTAAGAGCAGCTATTACTATCACCAGTAAATTTGTATGGAAAAATTTAATCCCCCAACCATATTGCCATAATATTGCGTGGTCTGTATTGCCGTGGAAAGTTTCAGCTTCCATCTCTCTAACAGTTTTTGGTATATACGTTATACTTACTTGTTTTCTGGTATTAAGCCATAATTTGCATGATTGAACCAGCTGTTCATCTTCTTTTCCATCAACCAAGTCAAAATTGGAGTTGGGAGAAAATTTCTGAATGCAGTTTGAAATCGTGTTATAATCACCATGTCCCATGGGTACCCTGAGTCAAAGACTCGCCTGAAAACCCATGCACCTCCTGTGGTGCTGAGGAGCACCTGGAAGTCATGAAAGAGATTTGAGAGCAGGAATTGAAAGGCACCCTCAAACACACCC